TACATTAAATGTTGCACTGCAATATAAAATAATTTTTTACAGTCCTGTACTGATTGTTGTATTTATATAATTCATTTGGATCTTATTTCTTCTAGACTCTCTCCAGTGGAGCAGCCTTTCAAGTAGTAGTAGATAGAATTAGTGTACAGTAATCATGGAAGCCTTCTAAACAGGCATTTAACCTGGACTTTCCTTGGCATTTATCCTGCCAATGTGCAGTAATTGAGAGACAAACACTGGGAAACACACAGTAATTGGATGTCTTCTCCTTCTGCCTCCCCCAGACATTGTAAAGCTGCCAGTACATGACTTTTCTAATGGCTTGTTGTTAAAAATGCATTTTTTCCTCTTATGTTGAGGGTTGTTCTCTTATAAATCTTTTCTGTCTGAACTCAGTTCTGAGCTGAATCTGTTGTAACTTCTGCATCACAAAAGAATGTGTGTGTCTTCTTCCTTTTACTGCAAAACATTGTTGCAAACCTGATTACTATCTAGATATGCCCAGACTTTTCTCATCAATGCTTTATTCTCTTTTTGCTGACAAGTGTTGTACATGTGCAGGCTTCCTGTGATGTTTTTTAACTGATGGGGCCTGATTCTCATGTACGCTGCGGCCCGTTTACACTGCTCCAATAGTGCGGAGGCATTGACGTATGTAAATGTAATTTACACCTTTCTAAATAGAGGCTTTGATGTAAATGAGAATCAACACCATTCTCTTTTTTGATGTTCAGAGCTTGAATGTTAATTTTCCGAAATAGTGGTGGGAAGATGTTGGGAAAGAGCAGAAACATCTGCATAATATACACTGTCCATTTCTTATTATGCTTCTTTAAAGTGACATTTTACAGTTTTATACGTGATAGTCCACTGTCCACTTGCTAGCCCAATACTGTGAAACACTGTAGTTACTTGTCATAAGATTAGGGAAATACTGTACGGCACTCCCTCAGATACCATGTGCCGTAACACTCTAGGTACTCAGATTTTTAAAGGCGACAGCTATACTTTGAGAATTGCATGTTTATGAGCATTGTAGAAATCATTGTTTAACTGAGATCTGTTGAACATCAATACTGGTGTATTAAAGTCATTCTTTATTTTAAAAGGTTTTTTTAAAAGTGAACACTAAAATATTTGATTTTTTTTTTTTTAAGAAATCCATAAGGTCAAACCAGTAAGGCATCCACCACTCCCATTGAAGCTTATGGGAGCTGAGAATATTCAGCACCTCTAACTCAGAACCCAGGTGTACACTTCGAAATAAGAGCAAGAAACAGCTTTTCTAAACTACGTTTTTAATTCCATTCCTCCAAATTTGAGATTTGGTTTGGGGTTGTGTTGGTTTTGTTCTGTTTTTTCCCATACCCACACATACCCCTTGACAAGGAGCAAAATCTCCTCTTGTGATTTAGCATGAAATATTGCAGAGCAAGTTTAAGTGAATGTAGTTTTAAATTTAAACTGCAGTTAATTTAACAAGTCAGATATAGCAGAAGTAACAAGGTCTGTTTCCTCTAGGTATTATATATCAGGTCTGTTCTCGCTTCTTCATCTGTTGGCATTTCTCATCCATAGGAATTAAGTGCATGTTAAGAGAAAATAGCCTTTTTAGAAAATTGACTTTTACTTCTATTGCTTTTGTAATTTAAGTATTTTTTTTATATTGATATACATTCAATGCATTCAGTCTACAGCTATATAAAATGGAGTGTTTGTTTATAATGATTTCACAAGTCAAGAGTTAAATAACACCCTCAGAGGCAGACAGTAGTGGGAGCCCCATAAATGCAACCAAAGGCAGACCATGACCCTAGACCTCATGCAAGACCTCCTTCTGTCTGTCCTCATGTTTATAACTACAGTTGTACCCACTGAAAAATCAACATGTGCTGATTGCTATCACAGTTTTCTCCTGTTCTGCGTACAAAGAAATGCTGAAATATCTTATACCATTGTGGGGTAACTGTTGGCAAAGGCGGATTTGTTAATGGTGAGGTTATTTAAAGTCAAATATAAATGAGGCTGAGCAGACATCCCCCTACCATCTGGTTGCAATATTGTGTGTCCCAACAGTTTTATACATCAGGTTGTTCTTTAAATCAAATAATTATCTTTTACAGACTTATCACCATGGGAAGGTACCGGATAACCTGCTGGATAGTCATCCTTTTGGTTGTGATGTGGAGCGACGTTTCCTTTTCCAAAAAAGGAAAGGGTAAAGGTGGAGGCGGTGGGAACACAGGAAGCAACCGCAATCCCAACTATCCCAGCAACCCCGGCTACCCCCAAAATCCTGGCTATCCCAGAAACCCTAGCTACCCCCATAATCCTGCCTACCCCCCCAATCCCGCCTATCCCCCTAATCCCGGCTACCCCCACAATCCCAGTTACCCCAGGAACCCTAGCTACCCCCAGAATCCTGGCTACCCTGGTGGTGGTGGGCAGCACTACAACCCAGCTGGTGGTGGAACAAACTTCAAAAACCAGAAGCCCTGGAAGCCTGATAAACCCAAAACCAACATGAAAGCCATGGCAGGAGCAGCAGTGGCAGGTGCCGTGGTGGGTGGCCTAGGTGGCTATGCCCTGGGAAGTGCAATGTCAGGAATGCGCATGAATTTTGACCGTCCTGAAGAGCGCCAGTGGTGGAGCGAAAACTCCAATCGCTATCCCAACCAAGTGTACTACAAGGAATACAATGACCGCTCCGTTCCAGAGGGAAGGTTTGTGCGGGACTGTGTGAATATCACAGTGACCGAATACAAAATTGATCCCAATGAAAATCAAAATGTGACCCAGGTAGAAGCCAGAGTCATGAAGCAGGTGATCCAGGAGATGTGCATGCAGCAATATCAGCAATACCAGCTGGCCTCTGGTGTCAAACTACTCTCTGACCCCTCGCTCATGCTGATTATCATGCTTGTCATTTTTTTTGTAATGCATTAAGAAAGCAGTCTCAGCCTGAACTGTGCTGCTGATCTGTGCAAACGTTCAGAGGGAATAATCTATATAAAATAGCCTCTCTGTGGAGGTCTCTCATTCTTGCTTGTGTTTGTCTTAGGTGAAGTATCTTAAGATCTGTAATAGGTATCAATAATGTACCATAGAGACACAGGCTGACAGTGTATAGCTCTCTCTTCAAAGCTATCTCTGATTATACACCTACTGTCCAGAATTAAAATTAGGGCCAGACTTCAAATGGAAAGAGAAGTCAATCTGTTAGTTCCACGTTTGTTCTAGTGCAATAGACCTTAGAAGTCAATACAAATCAGTTAATACTGACATAGTGAGCTTGTGATCACACAAGGAAGTGGCCTTCACCAAAATGCCCTCTTCCTCAAATCCACTCTTTAAACTCTGGTACGGATAGGATCCATCTGATTACACTCATCTTCCCTCCTCCAAACTAGACCACTTTTGAGAGCTGTTTTTCCATTTCAGTACACCACTGGACTTTTTCCTCTTCAGCTCGTCTAATTAAAGACTTCAGACTGTTGTCTGGCTTCACAAGCCCTCCTTGGTCATCTAGGCTGAGCAAGTTGCAAAGGCAGAATACTTATGAAAATCCTCTTTAGAGATAATTGATGTCTTAGCTAATGACATTAAATAGTTCCAAATGGCATCAATCCCCCACTTGGGGATGTCACATTTTTTGGGACATCCACAATCCAAGTTCAAATTACAAGTTAATTTTGTAACCTGGAGTACGTACCAAGTATTTCAGACAGTTTTTCCTGCCTGTCCGTGGCTTGTGAAGTGAGACCCTTCCATTGTTAGGCTGTATTTTGTATCCTTAGATCACCTTCTTGTACTTAAGAGTATCCTCTCTAAGCACATGTGTACGTAGTGGCGTTCCATCCATTTAACAATTTGCCCATTGCAAACGTTCCAGCAGCAACTAAAGAATAGGCCAGCTTTGGAGGCCAAGAGTCAGCCTAAGATGGCAGCCTGCCAAACACCCAGGTTTCAAGGAGCAGGCCTAGGAATGTTAAGTTTGGGCAGAGTATCCTTTTAGTTGTACAGTAATTGTCTTTGACTTGGAATGTTTAAGGAGACAAATGGCTGATGAAAGTGTAAAAATAGCTGCTACCGTAACACTGGTTTCATAGTTGTCGTCCCAAGAAAAAGCAATTCTGCCGATGCAGTAAAAGGTGCATGGTTTCGTTCGTGGCTATATTGTCAGTAAAGTTTCTCCCTTCACCGAGCTGCATTCACACAAGCTGTTGACTTCATTGGAAGTTGTGCATGACATACTTTAAAAGCCTCATCTAAAGCCTATTGAAGTCAATGGAAAGGCTCCCGTGGATCAGGCGCTAAATCAGTAAAACTTGCATTACACTTACTTCAGCAACTTGATCAAGTTAGAGCAAGCAACATCAGTCAATATCCTGACACAGACAGTCAAAATGCTGGAAACCATCTTTTGGAAGCAACTAATCCTGGCTTAATACCCTAATTATTATGGTAATTGATGGGGTCAGTTACAGCTAATCTGCATTTTGATTGTCTTGATGACGCAGAGGTGTTGTATATAATGTGTAGTATATGTAAAGGTTACGCTTATTACAATTACCATGCCAAATATTTAATATACTGTATATTTCAGCAAGGCACTGAATGACTAAAACAAGCACCCTTAATTATTTCTGCTTCAATGTAAGTTGAATGGATATAGTATGAAACTGTTCAAAATTCACACCATAAAGACAGGACTTTGAAGTCACATGTAGTTTGTGATGTGAGAACATTTTGTATATTTGTAATGGTTCATGTACTTAACTCTGACGTTCAAATCCTTTTATAAATGTTTGATGTCTGGTAAAAATTAAACAGACACAGCAAAGGCTCAAGCGTGTCTCTTTCATGCAAATATCTTTCTTTATTTGTGAATGTTTCATCTACTCAAATTGAAAGCTGAACTCCTGTTCTCAGAGACCACTACTTCTGCCTGAACATTTTCATATTTCTGTTGATCCAGGCACGGATATGGCCCTCATCACCATAATATCTGAGGATCTCACATTCATTAAATGAATTTTACCCTTAAACACCCCCACTGAGTTCATAGAATCATAGAATATCAGGGTTGGAAGGGACCTCAGGAGGTCATCTAGTCCAACCCCCTGCTCAAAGCAGGGTTGGGAAGTATTGCCCCCATTTTACAGATGGGAAAACTGACATGTAGAGTATATTAAGCAACTTGCCCAAGATCACACAGGAAGTCTGTGGCTGAGGCAGGAATTGCACCCAGGTCTCCTTGGTCCCCGTCCAGTATCATATCCACAAGATAGTCCTTCCTTGCTTGCCTGTGCTTTAATTGCATTTTAACAGCATATATGGTATAATTTTCTAAACATCTAAGTCCCATTTTCCTAAGTGACTGAGGCACTCTTGAAAATTGGATTTAGTCTCCTTGGTAGCATAGCTGGTTTTGAAAGTTTTATCCATAGTGGCTAAGCAATTCTATGTTCCGATAAAATGTAAGTGCCAAGTTACTAGATGGAGAAGTTATTTACCTAGCTCAAAACACAGGTAAATAAATAGAGGTAAGGAAACTAGCAACTTTTTTGCACTGGGACACAGAAGAGTCTTGTAGCTAACCATACAACAGATTGATAGTCTTAAAAAAAAAAGCAATACAGGATCACTTTTTGCACCCTGTATAAACACTAGAGCTGGTCTGGGAAATGGGGTTTCCATTTTGCGGGAAATTCCAACATTTCAAAAATTCATCCTGAATTGGACTGAAAAGTTGAAATTTTCCACAGAATAGAAATTCCAAAAACATTCAGTTCAAACACCATTATTGTTTCAAGAATGCCAAAAAAATATAGTAAGTCAGAATGAAACAAAATAGTTTAAGCAAAATTGACATTATCAAAAACTGAGAAAGTTAAGATGAATCCAAAGTTCTCCCCTAAAAAAATCCTCAAAATTGACATGAAAAGTTTCAGTTTCAACAAAATTGCATTTTCTATTCCACTGAAAACTTTGACCAGCTCTAGTAGGTCACATAACTGGGCAAAGTGGGTGTATTTATATGTATGTATGTTCTGGTTTGGTGGTGTGTTGCACCCACTTTAAACATGTGCTAAGCAACAGAGAATCAAGATGAGAGCATCACATGCCATCATTTGGTGAATTGGGGGCCAGACTCTCAGCTGATCAAGCTGGTCTCAGCTAATCAGCATTGCTCCGTTGAGTTCAGTGGAGCAAAGGACCTATGCCTAGGAGGATAAGTAAGCACCTAATGTTTAGCATCAGACCCTAGAGTTAATTATTTATTAGCCACTTAGTTTTGCATGCTTCAGAAAATGATGGGCCTTAAAACCATTTTGTTCATTTCCTCTTTTCAGGAAATGTTTGCTTCCTGTGTGTGTGAATTTAAGGACTTGTGTCAGGAGCCCAATTCATGGCCTCAGATTGAAGCTCTATTGGTGCAGAAAACTGGTGTCTCCTAAGCAATGGCAGCACAAGCTTCCCTCACCTTTCCTTTCCTTGTGAACTTCAGTCTTTCCCTGAAGGGTAGTTCAGTCACCATGACCCATTCAGTCTTTCGCATCTCTGTTGAGATGGCTTCAAATTAGTGGCAGTTTCTCTGATGCGGGTACTTATTCATTAGAAATACTGACAAACTCCCTTATCATAAGTGACCAAACAGCCATCACTTTCCCTCACTACTAACCTGGGGAGCATTTGAACTGGTATCACAAGAGTTAGGATATCCTATTTCCCTCCCCTTCCCAATCCCTGATATTTCTTGCTTTAAATTAATTAATTTTAGACTGTGTCTTGAATCAGTTTGTCTGGGGGAGAAGGTGCACACGGAAACAGAATCAACTGTAATTCCTACCTACACACACACACACACACACACACACACACACACACAAAAGGAAAGCTGTATATTGTGTCAGTGAAATATAAAGAACAAGGATGTATAATGGCCTTATGTACAATCACTGCAAACTTGATGCACGACCCTATTTTGAAACCCCTGACTTAATATCTCCCATTTATATTTTTCTGCAGAGGTGGGGCCCAAACCAGCACCCCAAATTCAAAAACCCGACACACACTGTAGGAGTCCAGATCCAAATTTTACACCTAGCCCATACTCCTAAAATGGGCTGAACCAAAACTCCAGGTCTAGAATGTCAGTACCCTGAATGTTAGGAAAGTCCAGGGAGGGATCTGAACTGTGCGTCTCAGGTCTACGTCTAATTTTCTCAAGCACTGGGCTTTCCCTAACAGTATTAGTGTAAGTATGTCACAATTCAAATATTTTATGCAGTGATCTATTATGGATGTAGCTATCTTCTTAGGTCTTTTGTACCTCTAGTATTAAATCATGTATGTGTTATATTGCAATTTATATATGGGGTGACTGAACTTTTATGATTTGCATAGCTATCTGTTTTACTTATAAGAATCAGATGAAGACCTTATTGCTTTCTAATTAACAGGCTTAAAATGAAATGTATTGTTCCCCCACCCCCTACCCTGCCCCCTGACTTGAGTGTAAAACCCTGTTTTTACCCTATTATGAAAATATTAGCAGCTGCTCTGCTGTGATATTGTCTATCCATTACTTCACTGGTAAGACTGGCAGCCACGAAATATTGATACACAGTACTTCACACTGGAGTAACCGGTTCTTTCCCCTTAAAACTCGAAACCCGCAATGGATCAAGTCTACACATCTCTAATACCAGTGGACTCTGGGTTCTCTCACCCAATACACGCAATTCATTAAATTCGTTTTCTTTAGAAAAACAGCTTTGGATTTGTTCCCTCGCTCACCTCCCCCCCCCCCATTTTTTTTGGCAGTTACTCTTCGCCACTGGGGTAGCATGTGAAGCATTATAGAAACACAAAGGTAGACATGATCCCAGTAGCAAAAAGCTTACAGTCCTGTAGCTCTGTTGGTCCCAGCACTCTGGAAAGGGAGGATGCTTTGAAGTAGACCCACTGTTTAAATTTATTTTGCAAAACAGTAATTGGCAACGACTGGTACCTCTTGAGACACTAGACCAGTTTTAAGATGCGGCTGCTTTATGGATGCCTGGTCTCTTGGGCCTAACAGGTTGGAATTGCACAGCTCATCATTCTGAGTCACTGAGGACATGTTTACACAGCATTTTGGAGGTAGGGTGACCAGCCATCCCGATATTAGAGGCTTCGTCTTACATATGCAACTATACCCTCCCCCGCTCTGAAAAAATAAACGTTTGGTCACCCTGTTTGGAGCAAGGCTCCCAGCCTGGGTCAACAGACTGGGGATAGCAGGGCTGCACTAGTGCCCTAAAAACAGCTGTGCATGCAGCACTGTGAAGCTGCGGCTCAGGCTTTGAAGCCTGTCCTTTCCTCAGATTTCAAATCTCGGATCATACAGATATTTATAGAGTGGTAGCGTGCGCCCCACTAACCCAATTCTGTTGGCCCAGGCTCATTCCAAAACGTTGCATCAACATACCCTCCCCCGCACCAGCCTTTATCTGATGAGGCAGGAACAGAAATGGTCATGTCTCATTCTCTCTCTCCGTGGCTAGGATAAGATGCTTCCTCCTTTCAGCTGCTGCATTGACCTTAGTTTTCGTTTGCCTTGCCACACCTTTTCCTGCTGATCCCCTCAATTCCTCTAGCAGCCACCAACCCTTACCAATCACTGCCTATCCAGATTGAAAATCCCTTCTTCCCATTGGGGCAGTGCTTAATTTGTAATGAAAGAGGTGCTGGGGCTCAAGCAATTTTTTTTTTTTTTAAACAGTCATAACTGATGCAGCAAGCCCAGCGGTGCCGGGACTATGAACTGCAGCTGTACGCTTAGGTTCTCAAAGGGGACAAAAGTCCAACCCGCCTGTTACACCAGACTGTTTATAAAAGGCAGCAGACATTGAAGACAAGTAGGTGGTACCAACCCTTGAAAAGAACTAAAGCCAGGGGACTTCCAGGCTCCTGCTACAGTCACGGGTGGATATAACACTAAGCGGGAAGATTCTAGAAATGGGAGGAAGTGCTTGTATTGGAGAGTACTGAAATGTGTTTTCATTGGATAATATTAGTGGGATGAGGCTGCCACCCCTTCATGGGCATTGTTTATTTAGCTGTCACGCAGTGAGAGACTGGGGGATGTGTAGAATGGAGAAAGCAAGGTTTACCGTCATGGTTTCTTTTCCCCACTGTTTCCTGAGACCCCACATCCACTGTGATCCCCTTGGGCCTTCGCTGTCCTACTCCTGAAAAGCATCCTGATCAGACTGGGGCCATCTAAATTAACTTACTCTCTCAGCCCCCATAAGGGCCTTTAACACCCTCTTTAATGCCACCTAAGAGACTGTCAAAGAAGGGTTTCCCCTATTAAACACAAAAGGTCTCAATACAGCAAACATAAGGGAAAGGGCAGTTTGTTTTATACAGTGCAAGCCTTACTTACTACTTTATATTTCAAATGCTTTAACTGCTTTTCTGTGTCTTTATTAAAAAGGTTAAAAAGTGGTTGTTACTCTGGGAGTCACCAGCAATCACTGACAGAAAACCCTGCATTACTCCTGCCTGTTAAATGTTGTAACAATGAGCAAAGGTTTTATTAACATCTTATCCCTTCTCGGGTCTGACACCCCCCTATATCAACACAACAATTCACAATCTGACCCTAAAGGATTTAGTGGGGATTAAAAAAAACCTTAAGAATCTTAAATCTGAGCCATTTTTATGAATAAAATTGATGGCCAATCTGGTCGGGCAAGAAGCAGTGCACACTGGTCTGGTTATTAATCTGGATAAAACTAAGTCAGAGTTTAAGGCTAGAAGGGATCATACCAAGGTCAATGAATCTGACCTCCTGTACATCACAGGCCAGAGGATAAAGAGGGGTGCAGTTTGGATGGCTAACATGATTTTGGAGCTGTTCCCATGAGACTTCAGCCAGAAATGGTGGCTATTTCACCAGATCAGCTCATCTGGCAAAAGACTGAGAAGGGAATCAGGCATGATCAAGCCATTTGTCTCCTTAGACCAGAAGCTTGCAAGAACAACCCATCGTGGGAGATTTAAATGTATAGGATTGAAACTGGTTTTTGCTCTCCCAGGAAAATAAGGCCACAGAAGTTAGTTGGGATCCAGTGATCTGAATTCAAATACCCCCTTCCTGAAATTTGGAAGGGTTCAGATTAAGTATTTGTGAAAGAGAAATATTACAGTATTTGAGCATCCAGCATTTGAGACTACGTCTACACTATGAACTAAGGGAATGATTCCCTTGCTCGTGTACATCATATACTCATGGCTAGCTGTCATTGACAAGCAGGAGTATCAATAGCAGTGTAACCAAGGTAGCACAGGTAGTAGCAGCCGAGCCTTGAAACCCACCGGTTTCGGGCCAATATGTCACTTACAGCGTAGACTGAGTCAGGATTTCATTTTTGTAGCGGAAAGGTAGGACATACTTTGCCATGAAGCTACTTGCATTCAGCAGGACTACATTTGGCATATATTTTATGAGATAAGAAAAATATCACTGGTAACTTATGTTGTATTGCAAGCTCCCTTAGGATATATAGATTACAGGGGAGGCGGGGTGGGGGGGTGGAGCAGGGAGATAAAAGCACTTCCACTGAAATCACTTACTGGACACATTTACATTAGCCCATCGTAGAATATCAGAACCTAGAGCGGAGCAAAAGCCAACATGGAAGCCAGAGAAAAGGGACTGGGGTAAGATCAAAGAAAGTCTTAGCATGTTTTTAGAACCAAGATATAAATGACTTGACTATACCACAACAGCTGCATCTCTGTAACATGAGCAGCCCTGGGCATAAAGGGGGCAAAAATCTCTTGTCAGCTCAGTGACAGAATGACTCTTTCATTACCAAGAGAAGCCTGCTATAGAGTTTCAAGCTGATTATTAGCTGGTAAAATTAATGGAATGGGGAGGGAACAGGTCAAGCAATCTGATTGGCTAACATGGGGTTAATTCCCTAAAATATCCTTTATACGCCAACCAAAATGAGATCACTGAAAAAGAAAAATTCAGACAATAATATTTGATTCTATTTTTTTGCTATGTACGAGCATTAAAGATCTCAAATGTAGAACATTACTTAGGGATCAATGAACAGTGTTGGGTCTGTCCTGCCAGTCAGTAACCCTCAGACTATGCCTTGCATCATGCTGGCTAGTTTGAGCATTTTACTCCTTGTAGATTTCGTATGCTAAAGCCTAGGCAGTTACACAGCAGTGCCAAACCATCATCAATGGCAAAACCAGCATGGTCTCCAGTGGGACCCAGATTTGACCCTGATTGTGTGAGCGAGCGGAGGAAAATAGAAATCCCCAGACAAAGAAATCAGCATTACTTACCCAAAGTGGTCTCTACCAGCACCTCCCATCCTTCCTCCTGCTTTGGGTTTCTCATAACTTGAGTCTAAATGGTTTTATTTTTTCCTTAATCTTCTAGGAAGTTCATTCAAATAAGCTTTCCACAATTCTGGCACAGCTGGCTGGGTGCCATCTCTGCTAGGAAAGCCCATACTGTAAACAAGGGCTCTGCATCTTTCTGATCCAGCTAAAACAGTGGTTCTCAAACTGGGATTCATGAGTCCCTGGGGGTTTGTGAAGTGTTACAGGGGGTTCTTAGGAAAAAATTCCCTAATGGCAAACAGAGTTGTCCCTAGGGACTCCGGGTAGCACAGGACCAGCAGCCTGGAGCCCTTGGACTTCCAAGAGCTAAGCAGATCAAAGCAAGCATATCTATCACACTGAGGAGTTTTAAACTTCAAAACTCCTTATAAGAAATGGAAAGGGAGGTGGATATTTTTTTGCTGTTTTTAAAATTAAAATGGCAGTTAGTATTGTTTTTAAAATTATTATGAAGAACAAGTTTAAGCTTTGTTGTACTGGACTGCTCAAGGTCTGAATGCTTGTGTAGGAGGAACTCTGAGTTGGCTTCTTAAATACCTTCATGCTGTTTCACATCTGATACTCCTTGATGAAACATAGGAGCCTTGTCTTAGAACAGGTGATACAAGCTACAAATGTGAGATCTTGGAAGAGTGTTGCCGTTTTCATAATGTAATAATACTGTAATGATAAATAATAATTAATAGTATGTAATAAGCATGTCATAAAAACAAATTTTATATTTTCAAGATCACTGCTTTTATAATTTATACTTCGCTAAAGGAGAAAATCCCTGGAAATATTCATTTTTAGGAAGGGGTTTGCGAGACTTGACATTTTAGTGAAAGGGGTTCACAGGTTGTTAAAGCTTGGGAACCACTGAGCTAAAAATATATATTTGTATTGACTCTTATTGTTATTTGAATTATACACAACAGAGAAAAAGGCTCAGATTTAATTGTGATCTCCAAGAGGCTGTGACATGATTAGGGCTGGTTGAAAATTTTCCATCAAAACTGTTTTTAGATGGATAATTTGATTAAATGACATTTTTCACAAGGTTGCGGTGTTGTACTCAGGGACCAAACACAGCTACTACAAGACAAGGTAGGTGAGGCAATATCTTTATTGGATTAACTTCCATTGGTGGAAGGGACAAGGGTGACAGGGTGTTTTTGTCTTCTATCATTTTTCTGTGAGAGTTCATTCGAGAGCATAGTGATTGTCTCATTTTACCCATGTTGTTGGTGGGACATTTGATGCACTGGATGAGGTACACCACATGTTGTGGCAGGCCTATGTAGGATCCAGGGACCTCGAAAGGTGTGTTTGGGGGGGGGCGCAGATCATCATAGCAGTGGAAATATGTCTGCAGATTTTTCATCTGTTCTTCTGTCAGGGTTTGGTGCCACTTGGAGTTGGTGTCTCCTGGTCCGTGGGGAGCTTGCTTCTGATTATGAGATTGGGGGCATTGTTTGAAGGCCAGAAGAGGGGATTCAGGAAAGATTTATATGTTCAGGTGCGTATCATGAACTTTCTCTTCCAGAATACAAACCTAAACACATTTAAACCCCCCGCCTTCAGTAAACAAGGACACTCCACCAGAGAAGTAGATTGCCTCATGGCCACACACATACCCGGAGAAAACCTGCTTCAATGCAGAACCACCACCATACATACACTGACCGCACAACCCTCATTGTCACCAACCACCCTACACTGGGACCCATGCAGGGTATCAAACAATTGCAACCTATACTATCCAAGAGGTAGCCGTGTTAGTCTGGATCTGTAAAAAGTGACAGAGTCCTGTGGCATCTTATAGACTAACAGACGTATTGGAGCATAAGCTTTCGTGGGTGAAAACCCACTTCGTCAGATGCATGTAGTGGAAATTTCCAGAGGCAGGTATAAATATGCAGGCAAGAATCAGACTAACCTCGTTATCTCTAGACTAATTCTTGCCTGCATATTTATACCTGCCTCTGGAAATTTCTGACGAAAGCTTATGCTCCAATATGTCTGTTAGTCTATAAGGTGCCACAGGACTCTTTGTCAACCTATACTATACACCCTGAAAGAAATACCCACCTGGGAAACTGGCATCCTTTCCAAATGCAAGTACTTTGAATTCTTGCTAAATTCAAAAAGAAGAAAAAAAAAATTCCAACCAGCTCGTGACACAACCCTATGTACTGCTGTTCAATCAGCTGAGGTGGGTCATTTTATCAACAACTGTAAGTGGGCAGCAGAGAGAGATCCCAGCAAATAAAGCAGCAGCTTCCTCTCCTACACTTTGAGCTCAGTAATGTATTATGTTTGTGCTCTAGCCTGATGCCAGCTTGTGATCTTGACTAGATTGAACCCAGCTTTGATTACCTGCCTTTTAGCTTTTAATTTAATTAATTCAGGCCAAGCTCCTCACAAGGTGTTGACACCTTGAAATCAATGGGAGTCAGTTGCCCAAATACCTTTGAGGATCTCAGCCCAGTTCTCAGTCAATAGT